AAAAAGTTAGTGGTAACAGCTTCAGGTTTTTTGACCGAAATAATAATTAGAATTAATTTTTTGACCAATCAAACCATTCAATAAACTTATTGAGGTAGGTGCTTGAGAACAGCCTGAGACAAGACATGTGAAATTGTGTTTATATTGAAGAAATTCTTAAGTTAGCTTGGTTTATTAAAGCATATTTGGATCTATTCGAATTTGGGTCTTTGGATAGCAAGTTTATTGACTTTGGGTTTAAAATACATAGTATTTCATTAATTCAAAACCAAGGATGGGTATTGCTATTTATACCTCCTATTTTGCTATTTGTACTACTTGTTATATAAATAACTAACTATTATTGTAATATAGATAGTTTAATTTCATACTTTAATTATATTATTATTTATGCAAAATCATATATTATTTGTATAATACAACTACATTATGTAATAATTGGATAAATAATTTTTTTTATATGGGTAGAGGGTATAAATAGCAAAAATAGAGGTATAAATAGCAATTTTCTAAAAATAATAATAAAAAATTAAAACATGAGGTTCTTAAGTATTATTACAACCATGAAAAAGCTTTATTAATTTAACTTAGAATTTATAGAATATTATATAATAAAATCAAATTCAAAAAATTGGTTAGTAGATAATTTTATAGTGATCTAGAAATTGTAATACCATCTTATAATACTTATAGTAAAAGAAAAAACAGAAGTGAAAAGATCTATATACTTTTTAGTTGTTTTAATACAACTTAATGCTAGTAAAACTATAAATAATCATAATTATAGAACTATTGATAGTAAAATTAGGGGCAATTCTATATAGTAGACCAAATTGTACATATCAATATATAATATAGGCTGCTATCAATAGAGATAAAGCAAATTAATATTTAAAAATATTTAAAGCCTTAAATTTCATAGCTTATAACTCGATGAAGTTTAAAACTATCTTAATAAATTTATATTTTAAAGAAAGCTTAAGATTTAGCTTTTATTTGAATATAAATTTATTAAGCTAACTTTAAAATTTATTGAGATATGAGCTATGAAAATTAAGGCTTTAAATTTTTTTAAAATATTAATTTGCCTTATTTCTATTGACGGCAACCCATATATTAAATTTTTTTTTTGCACAAATTTTTATTATGAAACAAAATTTTGAGCAAAACATTTAAGAATAATAGTTTTAATAATAATTGTTAAGTCATCTGACTTGACAAGTATATCAAGTTGACTACATAAGCTAAAAAAAAAAGGTAAATCAAACCTGTTTGTAGATTTGTATAGTGAATTTTTTTAAATAATACAATTGGTATTCCACTGTTTTAATGCAGAAAGGCCTGATGAACAACTTTTATTAAGACCAAAAGGATGGTTTTCTTAATAACAATATCTCTTCGGAATCACTTTTTTAAATTTTAGAGGGTGCATTAGCAAAAATAGGGTGGAAATAGTAATTCTCTTAATATATTATAGTAACCCTATTTAAATAAGCTGTGATATGTAATTAAAAAGTTTGTATATTCTTATCACTTACCAATAATTAGCAAATTTTATTTTAAAGTGAAAAAAAAAATAATAAATTATAAGCATTTAAAAAAAAGGTAAAAAATAAAAAATAAAAAATTATACATTTAAAAAAAAGTATAAAATAAAAATAAAAATAAATTAAATTACGAAATAATAACTATTGAACTTGAGCAAATCCACAAGCTAAAGCATTATTTTTATCTCCAATTTCAACCTCAATAAGATATGATGATGGCAAATTTTTTAAAATAAATGCTATGTCAAGATTAAACACTTTAGTTGGACACTTAACTGTAGTGCAAATGTCTATTCCATCTAAGAATGATAGAGCAGTTTTATTGCCAATTGCAAGCAAGAATATATAGCCATCAACAATATCTTCATTGGTCATTGCTGAAACTTTAACTTCAAGAAAAGAATTAGCTTTTGGAAGATCAGGATCAAGCATAACATTAGTGATTATTGGAGTATTTTAAGGTACTGGAGACGGACATCTCCCAAATAAAGTCTTCTTTTTAACCAGTTGAGATAGAAAAGCATTAATCATAGAAAGTGCAGCCAAAAAAATGAATAACAAGACAAAATTTTGGATCATAGTTATTATTTGTTTTTATAATTGATAAATTAACAAAAAGATTTTGTTTTATAAGAATTTTTGAGATTAAATATTAGGTATTGCTTTTATTTTGTTTTGACCAGAGTAAAGTGAAATCACTGTCTGATTATAGGAAAAAAAACAGCACTTGATTTACCAAGAACGTATGAAGTACGAAGGTATGTTTAATAGTGAGTTAAGCAGAGTCGCAGATTCTAGACATCTGATTGGATGATCATTTCCATGATTTTCTGTATTTTTGTATTAGGTTAAGAAACCAGTAAATGGTTGGGTTATATTGTTATTGTATAGCTTTTAGTTTTATTATATATATCAAATTGAGACCATTTTTACTTGGCTTCGTCTGAATTATCTATTTGTGTATTATGTCGAATAAAAGTTTTTTTTTTTTATTTTATACTGGTGTGCCGATTTTTTTTTTTGTTACTTAACGTTAATTTTGTATTCACTTGATTTGTATTTGCCCTGTATATACTCTATTAATCGATACATGATGACTATATATATATGTGATCGACACAATGTATAATTTACTAATACATATAAGTTAAAAATAACGAGTATGACTATTTAATGCATGATTTTGGGTTATTTCTAAATTTGCTTAAACTTACGATTTCTGATTGTTGGTTAGATGCTTGGTGTATCTTCATGAGCATCCACACTGCCTGTTTATCCAAAAAAGAAATTGTTATTCGAATATTTATAACTCAATGATTAGCCTTTTCTTTTTTATTTACTAGCACAATAAGTGAAGCTCCGTAATGAGTTACAAATAAAAATTGTGCCACTATGATAAGGTTTAGAAATCCATTTATATTACATAGTGTGTATCAAGGCCTAATTGCATTACAAATATTTGGGCTTGTAATTTACCGCTATAGCATGTATCGCTACTCTTGTATCTATGCCAAAATTCTGAAAGTCAAATCTCTAACTTAATTGTCCCATCATGTGATGTCAGATTTCAATATTCAAACCCACTTATGATTAGTAATATATATTACTAATCATAAGTGGAATTTGTATATTGGAGCCCTGACATGACCATTAAGTAGTGATATATCGCTATGGCGTAAATTACAAATTTTATATATTTATATTGATTAACTGTCAAAATCACGAACCCACTATTGAAATTAACTTATTTAACTCATATAGTAAACATAATTCCGGTATAATTACTTTGTGGGTAAATTAAGTGTTGGTGAATTGATTGTTGGTAAATTGAGTATTGGTGAATTGATTGTTAGTGAATTGAGTATTAGTGAATTAATTGTTGGTAAATTGAGTGTTGGTGAATTGATTGTTGGTGAATTGAGTGTCGATGAATTAAACTTGTCGATGAATTGAGCTGTCAGTGAATTAGGGTCGGTGAATTAAGTATCGGTGAATTGATTGTAGGTAGGGATGGAAAAAAAATGATTTTAAATGATTTTTATAATTTTTAACATGATTTAATACATTGTTTTAAAATATCAGTAATTATGGAACTGATAGTTGGAGCTAGAATTACTATATCAGAATTTGTTAATTTTTGACTTTAGCGTTACTGATATTTTGTTTTTCGAAATATATATATGAATATCTTCATCCGATTTATATTTTTTGATATTAGTTGG